ATGTTGCTTTAGGAATGGTAGCAGCCGCTTTTCCAGGCACTCCCGTACGTAGATCTCTTGATTGATGGTTCCCGTAGTAATGAAAATGCCTCTTTTTAGACCACACGTGCACATGGCCTGCCAGACGAGATATTTATTTTTGGGAACTTCGATAGTTTGATGGTTTTGAAAATTTCAGCTTGAAATCCACCTTCACATAAATTGCGTGTCAGTGTTCACTCGGCTGTCGACAAAAGCAGGCCACTCTCGATGTGTGCTACGCGATCGTCTGTTTTGATCGGCATTGTGGCATTGTGTGGTCCTCCTCATTGTTCTTCATCAGCAGTTCTTTCGTTCGATGCGTCGTCGACTTTGGAAAGCAACCGTTTAGTGATGAGTGTGTGAGTGCTGACCACGTTTTGCGTTCATTGCTGCAATGGAAGCGCTCTGACCCCCGTTGGCAATACTGCCATACAATGAAACCACTGGAAGCGGCTTCCGGTCTGATGGAGGAGACTTTTTGGATAGCGGAAGATAAAGTGTTTATTGTGTTGTACCTTTTGACTATAGTTTTAAGATGTATTGTATAGTGACCAAGAATCCTCGGCTCTGTAAAGTTAATTCGGTTGAGCCTTATCAAATAAATCAATAAACAAAAAAAAAAAAAATTTCGTGTGAAAACGTCGGATTCTCTTGCTGCGCGAGCAAAATTTTGACACGCTGCTCCTCTTGCTTGGACGTCATTTTGGACTGGAGGAGAGCAAACGGTGAAAACTCATCATAGCAACCATTGTATATACACTCAACTTCCAAATGCAGCATTCCAGGTTTTTTTTATGCATTTTCAACAGAAATACACCAATTTGAAGTTGACCAATTTTTGCGCGTTCCAGACTTTAGTTTAATTGGATTTGACGTTTTGGCTCAGAATCCAGTTCTGAATCAATGGGAAAATCAACAGATTGTTTAGATATTCCATTTTCATGTTGGTTTCAAACGTTGTTCAGTAACAGTCCTCTGCAGGAAACCCCAGGTTATTGGCCAGATTATGAAATTTTGTCATTTATGTTATAGTACTGCCAGACTACAGAGTTATAATATGTTAAAGCGCTATCTTGATGGTGGTTTCTGTGTTGCATTTATTTGACAACCGTTATAACATGTTATAACTCTCCAGTCTGGATAGCGTTTTATCGTACCTTTGTTAAGTTGAATATACAGTATTAAAAAATGGCTTCTTTGAAGATTCTGAAAGATGATTCCAAAAGAAGGTTTCTAATGAAGATTCTACAAGAAGCTTTTTTAGGAAGCTGATTCTCATCGGCGTAGCTTACGGGGGTGCCAAAGCCCCCTCCACAATTATCTTGTTCGCCCTTCAGAAAATTTAAATGTGTTTTTATACACCGTCCTTTGCCAAGCACTTTCGATGTTATATTTTATAGACATTTAATCAATAGCATAATAAGACGTCTTCAGGCTCTACAAAGAGGCTAAGGGTTCAGGGATTTTTCTTTTACCTCAGGGAACTACGTAAAACTTTAAGAAGTTCAGGGAACATCCTAGAAATTACCAAAACTTAGTAGAAGTTCTGGGATCTTCATAGAGCTTCAGAAAAAAATCGTAGAAACTCATGTAGCTTTGGAAAAGTTCAGAAAACTGCGTAGAAGTGGGAACTCTATTTAAGTTTTGGGATCTTCGTAGAAGTTAAACATTATTTAATTTCAGGGAACCACATTATTGCTCGGGGATCTTCATATAATTTCAGGATACTTTCTTGAAGCCTCGCGACCTTGGAATAGTTCAAGGAATTACGTACAAGTTCAAGAAATTTCGTACGTGGAACTTCACGGAAAACCAATGAAAAACTTAGCAGTGCAGCAAACTTTGTAGAAGTTTTGGAAATTTCGTAGCATTTTGAGAAGCAGCTTGAAACTGCACTTAGGGTATTTTGTAGAAGATCTAAAAATAGTTCAATAAACTTCTAAGATCTTCAGGGATCCTCGCTTCAATTTAGGGAACTTCGTTGCAGTTTGTCAGAGATCTTACTTCAAAAAAGGTCAATGAACTTCTTGGAAGTTTCGGGAATTTCATTAATTTTCAAGGAACTTTCCAGATGTTCAAGAATATTTGTAGGTGATGGGGTTTTCTCCAGAAGTAATCGTAGAAGTAAGAGAGTTGGAAAAATATGGAATTTGGAATAAATTCAGGGAGTTGGAGGAGTTGAGGAAATTTTGTAAAACTTAAGTGAGGTTTTTAGATGTTGAGGGAACATTACATACGTCGCAGGATATTCTTTCAGACAACAGCAAAAGATCTCCAGATCGACGAAGATATTCTTTGGATATTTTTTTAAAGACTTCTAGTTCATCAAGTTCTGAAGATTTCCAACTGTTAGAAAGTACAAATGAAGTCTTTCACATATTCTTCGAAGACTGCAAGTTGATCAGAAAGTATCCAAAAGTACTCTAGCTTATAGAAACTGATGGAATCTTGTATTATGAATCTAGACTTTATAAACATGTTTGAACATTTTTTATAGGGAAGACGGGTGATTTAGCTATTTTGTCAAGAATTGACACTCCAGAATAGTGTGGATGACTTACAACATTAAATCAAATTTAATTAAGAAAAAACAAACACAGAAAAAGTTCGAAGTACGAGTAAATAATAAATTGGCACCGAATGGGTTCAACTGAAACTAAATTCATTTTAAAAAAGCTTTTGTAGAAAGAAATTTAAATACCTAGTATCTAGTTTCAAACACAATCATACAAGTTTTGAGTTCATTCCTTTCGATTAGAATTAAAGTAAAATTTGTGACTTTAATCTTAATTTTATTTCTTACTCCGTGATCTTTGAAGTTAGTTAGTCCGAGGTATCGAAAAAAATCTAGTTAAATGCTTAATAATTTTAATTTTTAATCAAACATGAGAATCTGGACATTTGAAATACGGTATGGATCTTAAAAATCCAAAGAAAATTAAATTATAATCTGATTGTTCATAATTCTTTCACAACTGAGATTCAAGATTTTTCGAAGTTTTAAAATCTTAATTTTGTTGTTTTTCTTATCTCGAAAAAAATTCCTCTTGAAAAATTATGTAAGTCTCAGAATCTTGGTAAGTTTCCTAAGATCTTTAATTACGATTTTATTTTGAAGTCCGGGAGATTCAAAGCTGGTCGACGAGCTTGAAACTTTTGGTTATTTGATATTTTTCATTCCGTAGCAAAACGGTATACTGGTACTCAGAATTTCGTGAAAATTGCTAAGTAGTTTTGTTCCTTGTCGCAAAATATTAAACCCGTATTTTTTTGTCAGTAGGATGATCATTTCCATGTTAAAGTGGTAAAAAATAACGATTTTTTTTTTCAAAAATTACTTTTTTCAAAAATTCATAACTTTTGAACCACTGAGCCGATTTTAAAGATCAAAATATCAAATGAAAGGTAATTAAAAGTACATATATTGACAAAAAAAAAATGTGATTTTTTATTGAAAAACATCGATTGTATTTGTTTTTTTTATGGATTTCATGATTTGTAGATAGAGAGCGAAATATGTTTTGTATTTTTCCTTGAAAATTTAGGCTTTTTTACACAACATATAAACAAATCAATGATGTTTTTTTTTTCGTTTTTGAATCATATTTTTTGAAGTTATCAAGTTTTGGGGTTTCGCTCAATACTCCTATGCAACTAGACTACCATGCCTCTCTATTGACTTCTAGCAACTGTTACGTTGTCTCGACCTATGTCATATGTCCTTTATGTATTTATTCTATGTTTACATTGTCATGTTTCAAAGACAGACATTTGAATTTTTTTAAATTAAAAGTCCTTGAATTTAATATTGGTACCTATTCATGAGATTTAATTCATGATTAAATATAGATGATCTAAAGAAATCAATTTACAACATTCATGAAATTAGCTATCCCTGAGAATTATCTACAAGGAGAATTTTCTTAAGTTTTAAATCTTTGAAATTCTTCTGAGATCCGGACAATATGTAATTTCATTACAAAATGCTTGAACGAACGATCATTGCTTGTTGAAAATCAATATGTTTTTATGGCTAAGCGTTGTTATGCAATAAATACAATACAATTTAATGTTCCTCCATTAAAACAATAGTAAGCTTCGCCATAATAGGTTGTATTATTGGACAAGGCGGAAATGTATCCAACAAGAAAATAAAATTAAAAATAGCTTTGACGGATTTTGATTTAATGGCAGTTCAAAATTTTCTATTTAACCGTAGCTCAACAAAACAAAACAAACATGCCACAGGCCCCCCTTCAGTAACTTTTGACGCCAATGCTGATTCTAGACGTATGCTCTTGGCTCCGAACCTCTGACTAAAAAAACACGGGCAGGACAGTAAATCTGAATAGCTACGGAGTAGAAGAGCATTTTTTAAGATTTCAGGAGCATTGCATCGTTTTAATATTAGGTTTCCATAGCTGCTTAATACCCCGTACAGACTATGGCTTATATCATGTAATATAGGCTGTCTTGCAATGAGCACTCATACATAGGATTTCCAGTGAAAATTAGATGTATAAGTGCTCATTGCAAGACAGCCTATATTACATGATATAAGCCATAGTCTGTACGGGGTATAAGGTTATCTGAAGCTAAAATTATCAGTTGGATAGTTCGCCTCTCTCTTATGCAAGGCCCTCACTAGCTCTCACTCACTGAAATGAGTCACTTTTACCCAGCGCTGAGTGACCTTCGCTTTTCGAAATTTCTCCGTATACGAATGAGTAAATGTGACTCACTCTCTAAGTATGATTCGTTTTCAGTGCTTATTTAGTGAGACAATTTGTTTTGATTATAATCGCTTTATTGCCCTTGAAGAGATTATTTTAGGATAACGCCACAATGGAACCTCAGCTTATAAAGCATCAAGTTTTAGAAAATGCAATACCTAAATTGCAGAACCTATAATTGCAGCGTTTGCAGTTGGCAAACAAAAATGGAACTAAATATAAATGAGTGATAGGCAAGTGACCTACCTGAATGTGGTGCCCCCATGACGATTGTAAAAACGACTATCACAGCAAGTAGTTGCTTCTGATTGCAGCAGCAGTTGCATCCGAAGCTGGCAAAGTTTCGTCGAGCCATATTATTCCTTGTAGCATGCAGTGCTCCAGCTTTTCCCTAGCTAGTCATTTATTCTAACATCCCACGTTGATTCGCTATGTTTTATACCATAATGCAATGTTTTTTTTTCACTTTCCCGGGGAATTTCCCACGCGCGTTGTGCTCGAGTCCTCGTTGAAGCGCAGCGTTCAGAGCTTCAGGGTAATATTACACCTGAAACGTGTGTCGTGTTCTGTTGCTGTCGCTTCGTTGGATGTGCATTTATTATTAGATGAGAACAAAAGGTAAACTGCAACTCGGGGGGAAAATTCTGCGCTTTGTTATGCCGACGTCGTCTCTCGTCCTTGGTTGATTTTCCTGGGACACGCTGCATAGGTACCGGAAGTGTCGCAGTCGATGTTCACCCAACTGCTGCCACATTGTGCTGCGCAACACATCCACATGGTGGGATTGTCATCTGGTTTCACTCCTGTTTACATAATCCGGTCCTTGTAGGTATGCGTATTTAATTCACAGCAGATTGCTACTTTATGTTTTTTTATGCACACCGTCTGTCACAAAAGATGACACAATTTTTCTCTACACCTGTTAGATTGCGAACACTACCGGTTGATGGGAAGGGGCGGATAATGTGAGCGGACATGTTCCGGAAATGGAGAGCGTTTGCAGTTGAGCATATGTAGAAACGGTTCCCTGTTGCACAGCTATCGCGGTTCTGTTCTGAAAATGAAGCAAATAAACGAATGGAACACATTAGTTGGGGTTCGTCGTACTTTCGTTATTATTGTTCGAGATTTTTTTTTTTCGTCGTGATCGCCCATTTCCGTTCAATCGATCAGAAAAAATCAATAATATCAATGATTTCACCGTACACAAATCAATAATAGGTTTGTTCCGATGCGTTAGTTCATTAGCTACAACATAAATTCCGTTATAGTACGTTCAGACTACAGAGTTATAACATGTTATAGCGCTATCTTGATGGTGGTTTCTGTGTTGCAATTATTTGACAATCGTTATAACATGTTATAACTCTCCAGTCTGTACAGTGTTTTAGAGCGCATCTTTGACAGAAATATTCAATTTTTTGTTCAAACCCGTTCAAAAAAGAGAGGTAAAGCGCGGGTTGTGCTTAGTAGGACGGAAATTAGATCAGAAACCCTACATGTTTTTGCTCAAGACAGTATGTGGTTATGTGTATTTCTTGCAATGTTATAGAACTTTTTCACTTTATTTAATCCTATTTTTGACTGTATACGAGCCAGGAGAAATCAGCATAGCAACAGCCGGGGAAGCTACGTCGAAACGACCAACGCCAACAAGCCACATCGATCGATGCACCGTAGAAATGATGAGTCAGGAAGAATACAGCGTAGCAACAACCCAGGAAAGCAACGTGGACACGATCAACGGGTACCAACGTGGAGGACCGATCGAACGATATTGGTTTGTGCTGAACTAGGGGCCAGACAGCTTTAAATCATGAGTAATTTTTAAGCAAATTTTGAGTAGCTCTGAGTTACTCGCGCTGCTCAATGATGAATATCGTTGTCAACATGTCAATATATATCGCAGCAACTCAGTCAACGAGAGAAAATTTTTGATCGAGCTATGTGTCACATATGTTACACCGGTGTAAAACAATTTTGTAAACTTCTTTTCTTATATTCTAGCGTATCAGTTGCATTCCCTGCATTTTGCATGACTTTAATTACTTTGGTCAGCCATTACTAAGGAACAAGTCGCTTCTACCATATAATTATTCCAGATATCGCAGTGGAAGTGAAAAATCATTGCCAATAACTCTTTGTAAATTGAAAGCATACTACGAATATTCTACCAAACACGTAATGAAAACAAACCAGAAATAGCTCTTGATGATCTGGGAATAATTAAACGGGTTTTAATCAGGGTAAAACTTAACAAGCGCAGAGTATTAGTTAAAACACCATTCTTGTCGTTACTACCGAATGTTCAAATAATAGGATGACGAACTATGCAATCATTCCATAATCATTCCTGTAAATCCATATAAGTTGTTAGAGTTCGTATGATCGATGTTGGAATATAGAGAAACGTTTTCAGTTTGTAGCAGTATCTATAAAGTATCTTAAAAAAGAAAGTTTTTTTTTAAGAGAAAAATAACTTACTAAGCAAAACTACTAACGGCGCCGGTGGTGTAGTGGTACGCGTGATTACCTCTCACCCCAGCAGGCCTGGGTTCAATCCCAGTCGGCGCCGCCGGGATGTTCTGAGGCATAACATCTCTGATCACGCCTTCCTTCGGATGGGAAGTAAAGCCGTTGGTCCCCGGTTCATGAGTTGATGGGTCGATAGGTAGGGTCCAGCTGTGGGAGCTGCCTTCCTGGCACGTCGGTAGCATTGGTGTTCAGCACGGAAAACAAGATCGACAGAAAAAAACAAACCAAAGGAAAAAAAAAAAAAATAAGCAAAACTACAGCTGAAAGTATCTTTAATAAGGAAATCTTAATCTAAATCCTAAGCAAAACTGTTAATGATGGCTGACGTTATTTTGTTTGTAAATACGACAGATTGAAAAAAAAGTTAAATTAAGGCTACTTTGTTATTTATTGAGTAGCTACGAGTAACTCACAGTTACTCAATGTTAATATATAAGCTCAGAGTACAGCTGACTTGCCCCTAGGTGCTGAATAGGTAGTTGTTTTATATTCGGCCGTGAACACAACGACGATATAGGCGGAACGGTGGACTGGGAGTTACGGACAGCACAAGGTTCACCACCGGGTACCAACTCCAGGGCAGGGTAGGCAGGGATAATCCAAACAATTCACGTACTGCTGCTATTAACTAGTTATTATTTATTCTATTCTTTAATTTTTTGTTTTTCACTGGTTGACTTCCAATTTTATTCTGATCATCCTCGGTTTAGGGGTCCCATATTTATACCAAGTTTGGCTCACTTCGAGAACATTCGAAACAAGCCTGTTACTAACGACGTTTTTACTGTTGCTAACATAACAACGTTGTCTGCTTGTTGTTGTTCCTAAAGACGTTGCTTACTTGGATCGCTTTAGGAAGTGTTTTTCTCGTACATTCTGCCCCCGATGGAATGCAATTCCAATTCTAACTGTAGATTCTGGTGGTTATCCTGTAGCGGCAACGGGGTTAACTTGCTTACTGCTCGAAGATACACTCCAGTTGTTGTCTGTATATCAGCAACTCGCCCGATACCGTCCTTCCCTGGATGAACTGCGACGATTCTTGCTAGTTTCCATGTTTGCACTGGTTGGTTGTCCTCTGCCAATAGAACAACTGTGTCGACGTCGATATTGGATTGTTTCTTGGTCCACTTCGCTCTTGATTGTAGTGTTGACAGGTACTCTCGAGACCACCTTTTCCAAAAATGGTCCCGCAGCTGATTCAGATACTGCCATCTTGTCAGACGATTGATAGAAACGTCCTCGTATGATGGTTTGAGTATCGGTTCCAGTGGTCTTCCAAGCATGAGATGAGCCGGAGATATCGGTTTTTGCCAAATGCAATTTTACCACCTTTACTCCAGCCTCCCACAATCCTCCGAAGTTCGGTGATCTCGGTGGGATGAATTCCCATTCCACTTCTCGACGTAGCAGGAAATTGTTGATTTTATCCTTTTCGAGCTCATCATTGAACAAGGCACGTAGCTGGCGTAACTCCTTGAATGCACCAACGAAATTTGTTCCGTTGTCCGAGAATATTTTCCGCACTATGCCCCGTCGATTCACAAACCGGTCTAGTGCGGCCAGGAATGCCTCCGATGTTAGGTCTGACACAAGTTCAAGGTGAACCGCCTTTGATACTACGCACACAAATAAAGCGATGTATGCCTTCACGACCATTGTCTTACGTTTACCTTCCTTCACGAAAACTGGCCCAGCGTAGTCGACGCCAGTCAGTTCGAATGGTGCGGCAATGTTCACTCGGGATTCAGGAAGATTCCCCATTAGTGGTTGGATCATCCTTGGCTTCATACGAAAACATCTCATGCAATTATGGATTACCTTGCGGATGGTTGAACGGGCGTTGATGAGCCAAAATCTCTGACGAATTGCTGCCAATACTCCGGACTGGCCTTCGTGGAGTCGTTCTTCGTGAATTTTCTTGATAAGCAACTCCGTTACTCGATGTTTTGGTGGAAGCATCAGTTGATGTTTGGCGTCAAAGGACAATTTCGAATTTTGTAGACGTCCACCGACTCGTAGGAAACCGTCCTTGTCTATGAATGGTTGCAATGCGGCCAGACGCCTTGGAATTTCACCATGTTGGACACACTGGATCTCCTCATGTAGTTCGTTTTGTTGAAGAACACGGATGATGTAACTTGTCGCCTTACGCATGTCCTGCACGGTCAATCGTCCACAGGAATCTCGCTTATCCTTAGGAGTTTGCACACGGCGAACGAGGCGTGCTATGTGAGCGTAAACACGCTGCAGTTTGTAGAATGAATCGAACCGTTCAAAGCTAGTATCGAGTTTCTTCACTATCGGGTTTGCGATGACCACAGTTTTTAGTTCAGGAATCAGGTCGTCGGGAATCTCTTCTATTGGCTCCATCCTATAGCTGACTTCACGAAGAAAAACTGGACCGTTCCACCACAGCTGACATTTGTTTAACAGGGTTGGTTTCATTCCTCGGGATACGATGTCCGCCGGGTTTTCATCCGTATTGACGTAGCTCCAGCGGCAGTGTTTGGTCAGTTTGTTGATTTCAGCCACTCGGTTGCGAATGAAGACTTGCAGCCCATCCAAAGGTTTCCTTATCCAAGCCAAGGCTATTTGACTATCGGACCACAATCTGATTTTGCGGATCTCCAGTTTTAACGTCGGGATCACCTTATCCACCAGCTTGGCTAACAGTTGAGCGGCACACAACTCTAGTCGAGGGATGGTCAACTCACGAAGGGGAGCTACCTTGGATTTACTGCATAAAAGATTAGACACTGTTGACCCGTCTTTACGAATGCAGCGAAGGTAAATACATGCGCCATACGCACATTTGGAGAAATCAGCGAAACCATGAATCTCCATTGTTTCCGTATCAGGAACCACAACGCATCTTGGAGTCTTGAAATTGTTGAGGTGGCTCAATGATGTCTGGAACTCTGTCCATCGCTGGAGTAACTCACCTTCCATAGGTTCATCCCATCCAAGGTTGGTAGCCCACAGGCACTGCAAGATCATCTTTGCTTCGACGATCACTGGTGACACTAATCCCAATGGATCAAATAACTTCGCTATTTGGGACAGGACACGCCGCTTCGTTGGTTTGTCTACGTTATCCGTTGGTTCAGACGACTTGAAGAACAGGAACAGGTCTTTCTTTGGATCCCACAGAAGTCCCAAAGCCTTGATTACTTCATTTGCGCTGGAGTCCTGGATGGGCACTAGGGTCTCTTGATTTCCTTCAGGAATTCCTTCAAGCACATCTTCTGAGTTTGAACACCACTTTCGAATTGGAAATCCACCTTTCAGCATCAACTCCTCCAAATCACGACGTAACTTCTTGGTTGGATAATCCTCACTCTCGTCCGGGCTAGCTGGATAAGTGATCTCACAGCGAGAAACGACGCCGCTGATGTACCGTAGGTAACGGTCAATAACTCCAAGGCTTTCAGTACTTCCGACAGGTGTCCTCGCCAGAAGATTCTCTGGTACTGAGTCTGGGAGGGATCAACGAGAATTTGTCGGTACATTTTGGATACGTCTACGGTGAAAACGTAGGTATGGGTTCGAAAACGTAGTACGATGCTGAACAGGTCACTTTGGCTGCTGGTTCCAGTCATTAGTACGTCATGCAGGGACAGTTTACTCGCTTTGGTTGTTGCGTCAAACACAACACGAAACTTTGTGCTGCTACTGGATGGCTTGAAGACACAGTGATGCGGCAGATAGTACGATTGTAGACCAGGAGGATCTTCTTCCTCCCTCACTTCACGGCAGTGACCCAACGATTGATATTCGTCGATGAACTTCGCATACTGAGCCTTCAGGTCAGGATCTCGCGCCAATATTTTCTCCAACAACAGGAATCGTTTCAACGTCAGGGATCTGTAACCTTTCAACTGGTCCACTGATTCACGGAATGGCAGCTGGACAACAAATCGTCCATCTTCATTACGACGATAAGTCCGTTGAAAGTGTTCTTCGAAACGTTCTTCTTCACTCGTCATCATTGTTGGTTCAGCGATTTCCTCTTGGTCGAAAAACCGCTGCAAGCATGCTTCCAATCCATCGGTTACAGCAAGGTTGACACATACTGAAGAATCTTCTTGCATTTCCTCGTACGACCCAGCCACGACCCATCCGAACTGTGTTTCGTACAAGGTAGGCAGGTGATCGGCAAGTTTGATTTGGCCTTGCTTCAGAATGTTGAAGAAATGTTCGGCACCAATCAGCATTTCCACTTCTCGTAGACGGTTGAATGAAGCATCGGCCAACAGTACACCGGATGTAATATGCCAGGAATCCACTCTAACATTTGCCGACGGAATGGTACCAGTCACCTTCGGTGTGACGAGACAATCAACATTGGCAGTGAAGTTGCTGTAGTTGGATGTCATTCTCACCACCGTTCGATGGCGTATCTGGGAACGCGTACCTCCTACGCCGACTACAGGAACATTAGCTGGGAATTTCGGCAGGTTTAATTTCTTCACCACGGACTCCGACAACAAATTGATCTGTGATCCAGAATCCAGCAGTGCTCGAACCTGGTGAGTGTGGCCTCCTTTAGAACGCAGAATGACCATCGCTGTCATTAGGAACACCTGCTTGCTTGGTGAACGAAACACGCTGGAACAGGAAGCATTCACAGGCTGCTTCACCACTGCTGGTACTGGATCTACTTCGGCTGGCTTAGGCGGCTCACTCGTTCTTACTTCAGGTTTCTCCCGTTGCTCGAAATGAACTAGAGTGTGGTGCTTTTTGGAACACTTTCAGCAGGATTTATTGCTTGGACATGCTGCACTACGGTGGCCCTTCCTCAGGCAATTGAAGCACAGATTCGTCGCTTTCAGCTTGTCTTGACGCTGGTCTACGGTCATCCTTTGAAAAGTCGAGCATTTGAAATTCTGGTGCTGACCGGAACAAAAGTCGCACGCATATTCCGATGTTGCTGTTGCAGCATGCGACGACTTAGAATGTCCACCTTTCGATGGAGCAGTCTTGGCGATCGGTACCTTAGATGCTGCGGTAGGAGTAGTGGTTTCACATCGTTCCAGAATCACGCACCGCTGCTTCAGGAATGCGATCATCTGCTCATACTCAGGAAGCTCGGACTGGTTGATTGAAGCTTCCCAGAGTGCAGAAGTCTGGTCGTCTAAGGCACGTGTCAGTAGTGTCACCACAAACAACTGAGACATTCCGGTTAAACGCTGGTTGAGCTTAACGAGATTGTCGACGTGACGGGTGCATTCATCTACCAGGTTGCGCAGATCCTTTGATGATTTCTTGAGAACGTTTTGCATATTCAGGAGGCCAACGATGTGTGACTCGATGATCAATCGCTGGTTTCCAAATCGTTCTTCCAGGATCTCCCATGCTCGTGCATAATTCAGTGCCAACATTTCAAAGGGGCGTAATTGCTTTTGTAAACAATGACTTTAGCCATCAATTTCTCGCGAATGAAATCTTACCTCTTCAAAATAACAATGCTAGCTGGTAGAGGAAACATTCCTCTACCTGCTGGTGTCATTATTTTTCATGAGTGAGCTTTTATTCGCGAGAAATCGATGGCTAAGGCCATTGTTTACAAATGCAATTACGCCCCTTTGAAATGTTGGCACTGAATTGTTGTTTTGCAGTGTCTCCAAATCGATCACACCTGCAGCATCTGCCTTCAGCAAATTTTCCAAATGGTACAGCTTTACAGCGTCGGAATCGTTTGATCGCTGCATCATGTCCTGAAACATGGCCTTGAAGCGTGGCCATGCTTCATAACGACCGTCGAAGGTTGGTAGAGGAGTGCGCTAAGACTGGGTGTGAATGATGAAAATTGAAGCCTGGTTCGCTCTTGCTGATGTCGAAGGCACTGACACGGGCAGGGTTGCTCTGTTCTCCATCTCAATCATCTCGATCATCGTCTCTATCATGACCAAGGTTTCATTGTAGAGGGCTTCGAATGCAATATACCTTTCCTCCTGAGCATTGACGTTCTCTTCTTTCACGGAGGCGGCGATGGCATCGTGAATCTCGTTGTATTCTTGATAAATCACTTCCACGTTCTTGGAGTAAACCCGCAATAAGGGAAGCGGTAGCCTCTTGTTCGCAGTTTCTGCTGCAGTCAGGGAATTGAAGATCCGTGTGACCTTCGCCTTTACTTGGCCACGCTTCTGGATCAACACCTTCACATCTTCCGAATTTTCCATTTTCCGGGGTGGGGTGCGAGGTAACATCTCCTCACACGCGAAGGTGTCCGGTTACTCGGAAGGAATACTTCACACTTCGCAGGTTTTCTTGGCACGGTTCACGTTCGGACTACAATCGCAACGGTGGAACATACACTCACGAAATATCCGCTCGATTTAGTACGACACGCGGATAACGTTTCTATGGTAACCGCGACGGAAGGGCGAAAAACACTCACGGACGTCACGACGAGGAATATCAACACGCACTAGGGCGTCGCGATGACGGAATAAATCACGGGGTTTCGCGTTGTCAAAGCCACGCGAACGCTTTTTCACGTTGTTAAGCCACGCGAACTCCTTTTCACGTTGTCAAGCCACGCGAACGCTTTTTCACGTTGTCAAGCCACGCAAAACGATTTTCTCACCTAGCAGCAGCACGCCAGTCCAGCATCCGGTTCGAAGGACCAATGTTTTGTATTCGGCCGTGAACACAACGACGATATAGGCGGAACGGTGGACTGGGAGTTACGGACAGCACAAGGTTCACCACCGGGTACCAACTCCAGGGCAGGGTAGGCAGGGATAATCCAAACAATTTATGTACTACTGCTATTAACTAGTTATTATTTATTCTATTCTTTAATTCTTTGTTTTTCACTGGTTGACTTCCAATTTTTTTCTGATCATCCTCGGTTTAGGGGTCCCATATTTATACCAAGTTTGGCTCACTTCGAGAACATTCGAAACAAGCCTGTTGCTAACCTAACAACGTTGTCTGCTTGTTGTTGTTCCTAAATACGTTGCTTACTTGGATCGCTTTAGGAAGTGTTTTTCTCGTACAGTAGTTTTATTTAATAAAAGGTTTAACATCAGGGAAATTTAGTTAGTCTTAAGTGTGCGTTCCATTGTAAACGGTTGAAAGTTGAATAATTTTTTTTATAATACTCGTAAACGTTCGAGCATTACTTATATAGGGGAGATGGTGGAAAATTGAGACAAAATATCAAACTGCTAATATTTTAAGTGTGGCTTGTGGAATTGAGTAGCAGTTAGTCCAGTTTGGCTCGTGTTTGTATACACAATGGAAAAACACACGATCATTCAACGTGACCCTATTCACTCCCCAAGTATTCTTTTGAACGTCATAAAACTTTGTTCAAAATATAATACTAAAAACGTGAATTTCAGGCAAATTTTTTAAAACTTCGTATACCTAGTTGTTTGAAGATGTATAGCTTCGGTAACTTTTATTAAAATTCTACGTTCTATAACTTTGCCCAAGACAGCAAATCTCTATCTTGCGATACACTGTGCCATTTTTTGAGCATGAGCATGAGCATGATTGACCACCCACGGTTGCTACTCTTTTATTGCCAGATCATCTGTGATTACACAGAGAACCAATATACGATGCTTGGGACTAGTAATCATCCTCAATGTGTAAAAACTGATAATCTCAAACTAGGCAATACCAGCGTCGGCCGCTCCCGAACGCAGGTCAAGAAAGGAATGGGTAGGAATGTGTTGACGTGACACTCGCTTTGATGGAAGCCGAGAAATTGTCTGCACCTCCACGAGGAGTCACTGGAATGTTGGGTAAGAGGGTAGGGTTTGCAGCAGGGTTCGTTTTGGTAAACGATAAGCTGAATTGATGTCCAAACAATAGGGAGGGGTTTTATATTATGAAATTAGTTCAAAATTATTTAACTGACAGAACTCTGCAGGTAAATTATCAAAATTCCAAATCTAATCGACTACCTGTTAGAGCAGGAGTTCCTCAGGGTAGCATTCTTGGGCCTATATTGTATAACATTTTCACTTCGGACCTCCCTGATTTGCCTCAGGGTTGCCACAAATCTTTGTTCGCTGATGACACAGGCATTTCCGCTAAAGGAAGAAGTCTTCGTGTTATTTGCAGCAGACTGCAGAAAAGTTTAGATATTTTCTCTTCTTATTTACAAAAATGGAAGATTTCTCCCAACGCTTCCAAAACTCAACTTATAATATTTCCACACAAGCCTAGAGCTTCGTTTTTGAAACCTAGTAGTAGTCACATAGTCACTATGAACGGAGTTCCAATTTCCTGGTCAAACCAAGTGAAATATCTTGGATTAATACTTGACCAAAAATTAACTTTTAAAGATCACATTGAGGGCATTCAGGCCAAATGTAACAAAAGGAGTGTTCACTCGGCTGTCGACAAAAGCAGGCCACTCTCGATGTGTGCTACGCGATCGTCTGTTTTCTCGGCAGCAACCATTGTGTGGTTCTCCTCATTGTTCTTCATCAGCAGTTCTTTCGGTCGATGCGTCGTCGACTTTGGAAAGCAACCGTTTCGTGATGAGTGTGTGAGTGCTGACCACGTTTTGCGTCCATTGCTGCAATGGACGCGCTCTGACCCTCGTTGGCGTACAACAATTTGCCATACAATGAAACTACTGGAAGCGGCTCCAATTCTGATGGAGGAGGCTTTTTGGATAGCGGAAGATAAAGTGTTTATTGTGTTGTACCTTTTGACTATAGTTTTAAAATGTATTGTATAGTGACCAAGAATCCTCGGCTCTGTAAAGTTAATTCGGTTGAGCCTTATCAAATAAATTAATTAAAAAAAAAAAAAAAAATGTAACAAATATATTAAATGTTTGTATCTTCTTATAAACAGGAAATCCAAACTTTGCCTGACGAATAAACTTCTAATATTTAAACAAGTTTTTAGACCGGCCATGCTTTACGCTGTGCCAATATGGTCTTGTTGTTGCACTACCAGGAAAAAAGCACTTCAAAGGATTCAGAACAAAGTTCTGAAAATGATTTTGAAGTTGCCTCCCTGGTACAGTACTACTGAGGTACATAGAATTTCGAATGTTGAGACTTTAGAACAAATGTCCAACAAAATAATGAATAATTTCAGACAAAAATCGTTGCAATCCTCAATTGCAACGATTAATTCCCTTTATACTTAGATAAGATTTAGTTTTAGTTTTTAGTTTTAAGATATCAATTGTTATACTGACATGCAGGTTAAAAAACCTGTTTAAAATACGTAATTGCCAAGACATGAACAATGTAAAAACACTTAGATATATATCATAACAATTAAGGCTGGTACGTTACTGCAGTAACTGGAGCACCTAGGTTAAAAATGAAATGTAATTTATTTTGAATTTGGAACAAATAAAGAGTTAAAAAAAAAAAAAATAGGGAGGGGTTACTGTATAAATAAATAAAAAGGAATTGACAAGTGGACCTACACCAACAGCAACTGGCCTCCTCGTAGACTTTTTCGACCCATCACAGGTATCTACTTAAAACACAGACGTCAAAATTTCGGATCCATCTCATCAACATATAGTTAATAAAATATAACAAAATGCAAATAATCTTGATTTTAGCCACTCAATTTATTAAAACTCAAGCTATATATGAAAATATAATTTCATGGTATGATTGAACTCAAATTTACACATTTACTGAATCCACAATTTAATTTAAGAATCAATTTGCTTAATAATCGAGGTTACTTGAGCAGACAGGAGTTATAAAAACAAGAATCGATGAATAAATCTTGAAATAGCAAAACTCTGCAAAGGTAAAACAATTTAAAAACATTGGCCTAATGTATGATCATATTCAATTTATTCTCATGGTAATTCAAATTCTGAAAACCACAGATCATATTTATTATAATTAGATCAAAGATAAATAACAATGATATGCTATTTGATACACCTTCTGGTACTTCAGGATCTGCAGGACAAATATTTTCTAGAAATGAAAATTATAGTTATAATGATATAATGAAAATTATAGTTATAATGATATAATATGTGAAATAAAAGTAATTTACTAGTCATGCAATACATAAAGAATGTAAAATAAACAAGTATTACAAAATACAAATAAGCTTGATTTTAGTTAACCTCAATACCTTCAACCGATTTCAACTTCTGATATTTTATTGGAATTAAAACAAACACTTTATTATGCACTGCGATACACTGTGCCATCTTTTGGGGTCAAAACTTGAACATTTTTTTGTGGTGAACGACGCTGCTAAAAGGTCCCACGATGAAATCCAGCGTATATCCGTCAGGAAAATCGTTAACAGAATGAAGACAAGACAACACGTTCAAATCCGCAAACCAAAACTTTTCATATCGAGGAGACAATCTCTTTCTCTTTTACTCTGCCGAAATATGTTCTAGGTGAATCCTGCA